TAAAAAATACTGTTTTTTCTTTAACTGAAAACTTCCCATCTGATTTTACTATACTTTCAGAATGGCGACCACCGCCCTGTGTGGTTAAGGCAATTAATGTATTGCCAACGACAGTAACAATGCATCCTGGGTGTTCTAAAATGGAAAATAATTACCCCAACAATATCGCTTACCTTAATATGTCCGAGATCATAATAACGGGAATCGCTTTATCAACATTTCCTTGACAAGATTTTTCTACAGATATTTTCTGACAGCTTTTGCTATTTACCCATCTGAAGTCATTTGACTTCATACAATCTTACATCAATAACATAGGGTCCAGTGTTTCTATCTTTTATTTATTTTTTTAACAATAATTATAGAGAAAAAAAAAATAACATATACATAACTCTAGTAGTAGTTTCTTTAAAGTTAATAATAGAAAATTATGAAAAAAAAACATATTCATGTCATCCTTAAAAATCTCCAACACAAGCAAATATGTCTGTCAAAATTTAGGTCGGTACATGAGATTACCATTCTATAAATTAACAGTTGAAAAATGTATTCTCTTTTGCTGTCTCAATCTAACTTTTGTTTGCAATAAAATAATTCCATTAACAAAATGAAGTTTGTATCTAACTTTTGATTTTTTGTGACAAGCCATTAAATTCATCTTAACGACCAAATTCATCTCAACAACCAATCTGTGTTTGATGAATTCTGTATAATTTAATCTCAGCTATTACCCCAATGGTAGATTTATTTTCAGGCTAACTTGTATAACCTAACAACCTATTCGGATTGATATGTCTCGCCTGTGCCCCTCTTTGACCATCAATGCACTTATGGGAGAAACTAACTTAAACACAAAAACTTCATGTTGATGGCGATGCTGACAAAGTCAATGGACCATGAAAGGTAGGCCGCATCCAGCATTTGATGCATGGGTTGAGATGTACTACCTAAAGGGTCTGTCACATCTAGCTGCTTTGGGTCGCTAGAGCTATACGGGAGCACAAATTTGGCGATTTTCGAGGACAGTACAAGTACGGCAGCACAACAGTATCAAATGGCTAAGAACAGTAGTACATTGCAGGACATCGGCGGAAAATTGAGCAACGGCAAGCGATGGTAGAAATTTTTGAACATGCTCAAAACTTTCCTCTGATGTGCTGCTGGAGCGAGCAACGGGACTACAATGGCAGTACTCCAATAGGGATTCGTTGACGTCGGTAGAGCACCGGTAGCGCCCCGTAATGAATCGGCAGCCCTCCAGTGGCCTCAATGTGTACCTTACTGGAACCAATGTGATACAGTAGTACTACTGAATACCACTTAAGTAGTACTAATGCGCCACAGATGTACTAACGATGTACTAACGATGTACTACTGTAACATCGGCAGGGCAACAATATCACTCTGCTATAGCTCCGGTCAACAGTGGCACATCGTTAGAACAACGGCGGCGGCGCCTCGGTATAACAACGGCAGCGCCTTGGTAACACTGAGGTGACAGAAAAGTGGTATTCGGTAGCAAATCGGCTCTTACGTCGATAGAACGACGGTATCACAACGGGAATGCTAGTACTATATTGGTATTGCTACGGGCAATTTTGCTTTTTCAAGTGCTTTCTTGCCGGAGCTCTGCTGATTTTTTCGCTGTTGTTAATTTTTTGCTCCGGTTTACTCACAGCGAGGTACATCAGTAGCGTGTGACTGGCCCTTGAGATGCACCTATAGTCCAAGTTTTGTTGGTCTAGCACTTATACTTTCAGTGAAACTAACATAAACAGAACAAGAGGCCCACAGGGCCTATATCGCTCACCTGAATATGTTTAGAATAATTGGTATGAAGTAAAGATATATCACTCCATTGTAGGTGCTGTAAGTACATATGAAATTTCAGAAAGATCCATCCAGTACTTGAGATATAGCGAGAACAAATTTCAAGCAGAGCCCCAACCCTATGCCCCTAAGGGGGGTCATACCCAGGGTTTATACAAAATTGGTTCCCCTTCACCAAGGATGCTTCATACCAAATTTGGACAAAATCCTGTCATTCCTAAAGAAGAATAAGGATTTTGAAGAATTTGCTATGTTTCCCCTATTGGGCCCCTCCCCTCTGCCCCCAGGAGGGGTCAGACCCACCATTTATACAAAAATTAAGTCCCCTTCACCCAAGGATGTTTTAAACCCAATATGGACATAATTCTGTCATTCCTACAGAAGAACAAGGATTTTAAAGCCATTTTTATATTTTCCCTATTTGGCCCGGCCCCTCTGCCACCAGCGAGTTTAAACCCACCATTTAAACAAAATTGATTTCCCTTCCAAATAGGACGCTGTTGTTCAAATTTGTTCACAATACCTTCATCCCAACAGAAGAAGAAGGACATTAAAGCTATTACTCTTTATCCCTCTTTATCCCTCTTTATCCCTCACTGGGCCCCGTCTCTCTGACCAAACTTTTATACAAAATTGGTTCCCTTTCACCCAAGGGTGCTTCATCCCAAATTTGGACAAAATCCTGTCATTCCTACAGAAGAAGAAGGATTTTTAAAGAATTTGCTGTGATTCCCCTATTGGGACCCGCCCATCTGCCCCCGAGGGGGTCAGACCTACCTTTTATACAAAATTAAGTCCCCTTCACCAAAGGATACTTTAGACCAAATATGGACAAATCCTGTCATTCCTACAGAAGGAGAAGAATTTTTAAAGAATTTGCGAAATTATCCCTATTGAGCCCAATCCCTCAGGCCCCAGGGGGGTCAGTCCCACCATTTATGCAAAATTGATTTCCCTTCCCCATTGGATGCAACTGTTCAAATATGGTCAAAATACCTTCATCCCAACTGAAGAACACCATAGGATGTTTAATACCAAATTTGGACAAAATCCTGTTGTTCCTACAGAAGAAGAAGGCAAAATTAAGGGGTAAACATATTTTTGAATTCTTTCTGTATCATTATATAAATATCACATTCATGAGAGGGCGATATTGTTGACCGAGGCGAAGCCGAGGTCAACAATGCTTTCCGAGGGGGGAAAATATGCAATATCGCCCTCTCATGAATGTGATTTTTATTTTATTATACCGAGTGTCATGTTTAGGTGTTTCACCACTTCACCATTTTTAAAGGTCCTTGTGTTGATTTGACATAAACCAAGACTTCATCTCAACAGTTGTCGAATGAACCAACCATGAATGTGATTCGATACCACCCTGGCACTGGGACGAACCGTGCACGCATACGTTTGGCGCATGTAACAATTTTTGGAATAACACCCTGGCACTGGGACGAATGTGCATGCAAACGTTTGGCGCATGTGATATTTTTTGGAATGTCACCCTGTCTTCTTTATCTTTCTAAAACGAGCAAGTAACATTGAAAATGTTCACATCTTTCTCAACCAATCAGATTACGAGATTTTAACAGAAGGTATAATAATACATATCAGTTACTCAAAACAAGAGTACCGAGGGGCGGAACAATATACGCCCGTCGAATGCCATATAGTGTTATTGTTACTGAAATGAACAAAGGGCAATAACTTTTGCAAAAATATATGAATCAAAATTCTTTTAAGGGAGACACAACTTCATATCATGATTATAATGTATATCAAGTTTCAAAGAGATCGGTCAAAAAATGTAGGAGTAGATTGCCGGACAAACAAAAGTTTACACCGGCCAGCCGGCCGGACAACCCCATACCATAATACTCCAGTCAAATTTGAACGGGCGTATAAAAATATTTGTCACCTTATTACAATGACATTATTTCTGGTGGAAACAAACTATTGAAATAACAAATGGATGCTTTTAGCAAATAATCCCAATTTAAAACCTATAAAATAATTATTTGAAATTTAAGAAATTAATATCCTATATGTTTAAGTGGATCTGTACAAAACTCAAATACAAAATCAATTTGTTTAAGAACATGCATTATTTTTTGTATTATTTAAATGATGGTTGTCTCATTGGCTATACACCCGTCATAACCCTGGCACCAGACCGTAGTATCAGGGTCGAGATGATTAAATTATCTAAGGATTTACAAGTGCTGCTATTCGGTGCTTCCCTACCGGGTGCTCTATTGAGCTCTGGCACATATCAATTTTGCGGCTGAGTGAATCCTGTGTTGCCGGAATGACGGGGAGTCGGTTAGCTGAGGGCAACATCGGTCTAACACACAAATAACCACTATCGTTGACGATGACAGAGGGACCCTCACTGTAATTTGTCCCTAATGGTGGATTAAATATCCCCCGATGTGTTCCCCCACGGGCCAGAGGTTAGGAGGGGCCAGTCCCACATACAAGAGGCCAGTCATGTAATGCTGTTGTCAAGACAACGCGACACCTGCTCACATGCGGACATACAGACAGCAATCTGCTTTCAAGTGATGTTGGGTGTAGTTTCAACTTTGATATTTAACTGTCATATTATAGTTTTTGTGATGTAGAGAATGAAATATAGATGGATTCAGTAATGTACGGCATAAGTGGAAATTCTGGAGTGTGGAAATGTTCTCGTGACTCTTTCAACTGATCACAATCTAGATATTTTCAAGTTAGCACTGGTTCTGAAACCATGTTTATCTGTAACCTATATCATTTATTAATAAATATTCAAGAGAGGATACTTTTGCACTAAGTTATTTAACAAGAAATACGTGAACATTTCCACACCACTAAAATGTCCCTTTTGACAGTAATCCATTTTAGAGTATCTAACCAGGTAGCTATTTTATCTGGTTCTGACCCGATTTTCCATCAGCATTTCGAATATTAGCGAAATACTGATGAAAACAATATACATTGCAATACTGTACAGCAATATTTCAGATCCATTTTCTAAGGTAGAATTTTCATTTTCAGGGGAAGAAAATCTTGTCCTTTTTCATATACTGGGTAGATTGTTTCATCAAAAACAATTTCACTTTGGACCAGAAACTTGATTTTGTAATTGTAGTATTCAATGGAGTGAAAGGTTCAAAGTTCAGACTTACAGCATCCTTGACACTGAAGACATGGCAGTAGTGGTTCTCGTTGTCCCGGGTAATGTAAGCAAAGAAGTTCATACTGTCCGCATCCTGGCAAGCGCAGAAAATATTCCCAATCTCGTGATCACATATCACTCTCTGGAAAATTAAAGAAACAGTCAAGCAAAGAATGACTACAAATGATCTTCAGGCATTACAACAGACAATTGTCTAGGCAAATATAAATACATTTCAAATACAACTTGGATAATTCCTTAAATAATACCAGGCAAAACAGTTCCCCACCTCCTGACAAACTTTGGAAAACAAATGGCTGATAACTCTACATATACGTGACACACCACCTTCTGGAGAAGTACTCACATACATAATATTACAACTGTAGGTGTCAGTGTATATGAGATATGACCCCGAACAAAGTGAGTACTCACATACATAATATTTCAACTGTAGGTGTCAGTGTATATGAGATATGACCCAGACAAAGTGAGTACTCACATACATAATATTACAACCGTAGGTATCAGTGTATATGAGATATGGCCCAGACAAAGTGAGTACTCACATAAATAATATTACAACTGTAGGTATCAGGGTATATGAGATATGACCCAGACAAAGTGAGAACTCACATACATAATATTACAACTGTAGGTGTCAGTGTATATGAGATTGTCCCTGACAAAGTGAGTACTCACATACATAATATTACAACTGAAGGTATCGGTGTATATAAGATATGTCCCTGACAAAGTGAGTACTCACATAATATTGCAATAAAGCCATTTTGGTCTCTGTGGAGTATAACATATACTGTAGATAGATAGATACTATTGCAACTGTAGGTATCGGTGTATATAAGATATGACCCTGACAAAGTGAGTACTCACATAATATTGCAATAAAGCCATTTTGGTCTCTGTGGAGTATAACATATACTGTAGATAGATAGATACTATTGCAACTGTAGGTATCGGTGTATATAAGATATGACCCTGACAAAGTGAGTACTCACATAATATTGCAATAAAGCCATTTTGGTCTCTGTGGAGTATAACATATACTGTAGATAGATAGATACTATTGCAACTGTAGGTATCGGTGTATATAAGATATGACCCTGACAAAGTGAGTACTCACATAATATTGCAATAAAGCCATTTTGGTCTCTGTGGAGTATAACATATACTGTAGATAGATAGATACTATTGCAACTGTAGGTATCAGTGTATATGAGATATGACCCTGACAAAGTGATAGTGAATAATGAGATATGACCCTGACAAATTGATAGTGAATAAAGGGCAATAACTCTGTATAGTATAGGGGGTCACAAGTTCCAGTTTTACTACACAACACTCCACCATCCCAATTATTATAAATTACAGAGCCAGCTTTGCTTTTGTTCTTTGTTTTTGCAGTCACTGAATTGACATGCAGCACCTTACCTCAGACTTTGCATCTATAAACTTGACACCTCGGAAGGAGATAGCCAATTTGATGGTAGGAATTTTTGCAATGACATCGGCAGATTTCTGTAAGTAGAAAAGTAAAATACTCCATAGTAAAACAAATGAAACTGCATCTTAACCATTACAACTTTATTCTGGCAAACATCACAGAAACTTTTTATCCTTTTTTTAAAATACAACTTCTAGCAATATTGTAGCAAATAGATTTCTATATTTCAATCCAAAAGAGTCTTAATTTGCAATGTCTATACACCAGTGTGTTTTCTATCTAAATTTTACAATAGCCCATTTCTACATGAATTGAAAACAATATTGCATTACTCTCATTGAAACTGTGAAGATATTTCTCATCTATTTTTCTTTTTAGGAAAATAAAACACTCTTTTGCTGAGGGAAGTAGCCTGTTTTCAGCTGTAAAATGAGGTAAAAAAATCACTGTAAAAAACTACTGGTATATGATGAATAATCTGTTCTTCATTAGTGTTTTATTATTAGTTATACAATATCCACTTACGAATGTGATCAACATTAACTATCTTATCTGTCAGCATTTATTAAGAACCTTTTCAAGAAAGTTAATTTATATTTTAATTAACTTGTATATTTTTCTATTTGATGAACCAATGATGATGGAAGTGATATTTAACAGTCACAAACAGGAAAAGTTATGATTCAATGTTTTTTGTTCATTTTTTCCTTAATCTCATTTTGCAGACTTGATGATAAAAAATAATTCCAGTTTATATATATATATTTTTTTGCTGAATCTTTAATTTTTCAGACTTGATGACAAATTGTGTTAACGATATGTCTTGTCCTTTGATGGTTCAATACAAGAAAAAGCCACTTTAATCTTTTATTTTTCAAACTTGATGACAACAAGCGCTAACGATCTACTGTTCTTTGATGGTTTGGACGTCTAAATAGAGTGTTTCTCTTTCAAAGTGATGGAACAATATGGCGGCCATCAAACTCGGGCCCCATGGGAGCTGGACCAGGGATCAAAGTCAACATCACATACTTGAGTTCTCCCTCTAACACATTAAGCAACACATTTTAAATGTCAGTTGGGATCCCTACACAATGAGCTCTTGGCAGGAAAACTATAATTGAACCAATACAATACATCCATTCATTTCTGCCCTCCACATCCTTCAAAGGCGGAAAAAAAAACTTGGTCTCTTGTTCTCCGCGCTTGTCCTGGAGTGGGGTTTGAATCACGATAGCTCTTCAGCACCGGGAGATAAAAATGTAATGGTTGAAGACTGATGATCATTACTGGTCACAGCGAGTGATTAACGACGAAGACCAATGCATGTGTCCTGCCCTATAACCATCTCGTAACCTTCCACACTCAATTGCTTATGTATCTTGATAATGCACGCCCCAGTGATCACTCCAATCAAATGAGGCCATTAGCATTTTTCAAATTAATTTTTCTTCTGGAATATGTCGGAAATGAAGAGTTTGCATGGAGAGGGGTAAAACGGTGGTAAAGAGGAATCTCGTTGACTTGATGACGACAAGATCTGACCCTTCCTTTCGAAAGCTCGGATTATCCGCAGACGCGAGTCCGTTCATGATAGTTCTGGTGAGCCCACCATATTAATAGGTGTCAAAAATGATGCATCGCCACCCTCCTATCTGCGTGTGAAAATGATTTTATAAACATCAATCAAACACCCACAAAATTTACCACATCTTTGGCCGAATCTTCTTAATTAAGCTGAATGATTTCTAAATGAATGATGGCGATTTGATGCCAAAAAATGTCACGATGGACAAAAAACACACAAGTCATATGACCATTTTAGCTTGTCAATCACCATATATGAATATTTGATATTCAAATCTTAAAGATTTCGCATAATTTTTGGCAATTCAAACTTCTTTCTACAGAAATTACATTCCAGATTTCCCCAATAAGAGTTTTTTTCTTTAAAAGAATGCTTCCCTGGCTAAAAAAAAGGATAAACACAACCCTCTCAGTGATTCAAAATACAGTCAGGATTTTTTTATGAGTAATCCTTTTACTTGTTAATAGCTATATTTCACTATTTCAGGGATGAATGTGTCAAACTATACCTATATTTTTTTCCCCTCAATGAAAATGTTTGTTTCTTCCTTCAATGATGCAATACGGAGTTCTTCTAAATTATCAATGTCCAGCATACAGATAGAGTGAGGCACAAAGACTATATTTCCAAGCATATAGTTGTGTAGGGTTTATCCTTGGTTTTTCAGTTATTGCTGATAATTAATTTTTCGTGAGAAAACAGTAGTGTTTGATGACCTGAACCTACTGAGAGATGTACAGAAGTTTTCAGACAAAAGTCATTCTGTATTACAGCAAGTTATTGGTGAGTGGACATGATCAAAGTTTGTTAACTTGAAAGTTTGGAAAATTGGAATTCTAATATAGATATATTCATCAAGATACAACAACAACATGAAATATCTTGTGAATATTTATTCCCAAACATTTACAAAATAAAGTACATGCCAAAGTTAAGTGACGTACAATAGTTACTGTTATTAAGGTACCGATACACTCGGAAAAACTTGTGGACAGTCAAAAATTGCTCAAACAACACCGATATATAAATCTTAGAAAACATCCTTTTACTCAAAGAATACTGATGCTGGGAATAGTCCCCCTCCAGATCTTATTTCATTTTGTGCTGTATTTGATTTGGAGAAAAACTTGGACGGATTCTAGAAAGATTTCGAGTTGAAATTTGACCATGTAACTTCTTATAAAAGGACTAAATTTTATTTTTACCACTGTGTATTTCACATCATATTAATGTGGACATAGACCCACTAAGCCAGACCTATTTAATAGATATCTCTTATCCAATGATAGCTGATCTGTTTGATGCAGGTTAAAATAACTACCATGAATGTATATTTCACTAGTACAGATGTAACATTGTACATTACATGTAAACCAAACTCTGATCACAATTTAGCCAATCTTTTGAGATTTGTTTCCATAAACAAAAAATTACAAAAAACGTTTTATCTTCTAACAGTACACCAGTAAATCCATTTCTTGCCCCTGGAGCCCTACACCTAAACAGTACTGCCTCTAACATTGATCTTGTTGAACATGTTGGACTGTGCCAAAGATATTTCTTTCAGTTTATATCGCTATCCCGTTGCCAGACCTATAATGCCAGAAACATCAACACCACCCTGTACCAACAGAGGGAGGCACATTGATTATTCACAGTCATTGTTTCTGGGATCTTTGATTGATGAGCGATTCCCTGACACAACTTGTCTGCAGTTCTCCGACAGTTCCACAGGCGTTTTAGCCACAACTCTCTTTCAACTGTCAATACTTTGGCCGAACTTCTTAGACCTGTGATTTAATTTCACTGCTGGTGTATTCATTTATAAGCCCTCCACTGCTCCGAGGGTGACAAAAGGAGGTAGATTGTACGGGGCTGTCCTAGGTGTGCTCAATTGCATTACGTGAGCTTGGCTTGGCTTCACTGGGCAGAAACCGATTCATTAGAGAAGGCACAATGTCCAACCACGTCCGCCTTTCAATAAAACCAGAACTCTGGAAATCTACATCAATCGGACCAGCGTAATCTTTGGCCTCTGATTATCCAGCTTATGATACGGCATCACAAACATTTTGCCAAGTTGTTCTGTGACTTGAGCACCGAGAGAAATGACAAGGTGACTTAGGCGAGAGTACCAGGAAATATTCATCTCAGGGTCTTTATTAGATTTCTTTTTATTCATCAATGACACGGTAAATCAAAACAGGCTCATAGCCTTGCTCTCCCATTCTAAACAAAACCAATCGGCCTCAAAATGCAATCGCCTCTGAAGAATATGAATTAATTAAGCTTGTTAATAAGATCACATGACTGACTGGTGTGTAACGGTCACAGTAACATGTATCTACACCCAGTATTAGGAAGGGGGCATAACCCCGTCAATTGTCTGGAAAATTAAACCAACACTCACATCCTCAATCAGCATGGAGAGCGATGTATCGTGAAATTTAATCGTCTAGTTCAGATTTCACTGCGGGTATTAGAACATTAAATCTAAAGTCTCAATCTGTCGACTTTTTAAATCAATTCAATTTGAACACATATACAGTGATGTCAATTGAACATTGATAGGAACAAAACTTTACCCTTTAACCTCTAGGTAACCATAGTAGACTCTACCATGCATTTATGGGGATGAGTCCAATATGGTCTACAGTGGTGAAAGGGTTGAAATGGACAGGTATTTGGGATAACACAGTATTTTTTAATTATATTGCCTTTCATTTAGGTAGATTGAAATAAATATGACAATTCTCAGGCCAAATAAAAAAACAAGTTTGTTTCTTTTTACATGAAAATATTAGGGTAGGTGGGTTATAAATATATTATATTTTGCAATATAATTTTATAAGGTTTACACAGGAAAATAATCTTGACTGTGCTTCCTTAAAAACTGCCAAAAATTTAGGGTAGGCACAAAACAAGAGGCCCAGAGGGCTTGTATCGCTCACCTGGACATGTTTAAAGTACTTGATATGAGGTAAGGATATAGCACTCCATAGTAGGTACTGTATGTGGCACACTCACTGTTTATAAAAAATTAAGTGCCCTTGACCGAAGGATGCTCCAGACTAAATAAGGATAAAATCCTTTAATCCCTGTGGTAGAAGAAGTATTTTAAAGGTTTATTTCTATTTCTCCTATTGGGCCCCACCCCTCTGACCCCATGGGGTCCCAATCCACCATTTATACAAAATTGAGTCCCCTAGGCCCAAGGATGCTCAAGACCAAATTTGGATAAAATCCCTTAACCCCTATGGTAGGAAAAGGATTTCAAAGGTTTTTACCTCTACTTCCCATATTTGGCCCCGCCTCTCTGCTCCCAGGGGGCAACATCCACTGTTTATACTTAATTGAGTCCCCTTGAAGCAAGGATGCTCCAAACCAAATTGGGATAAAATCCCTTAACCCTTATGGTAGGAAAAGGATTTCAAAGGTTTTACCTATATTTCCCCTATTGGGCCTGACCCCTCTGCCCCTAGGTGGTTCAAACCCACCATTTATACAAAATTAAGTCTCCTAGGCCCAAGGATCCTCAAGACCAAATTCGAATGAAATCTCTTAATCCCTGTGGTAGAAGAAGGACTTTAAAGGTTAACCTCTATTTATCATGTATACAAAATTGAGTCCCCTTGGCCCAAGGATCCTCAAGACTAAATTAGGATAAAATCCCTTTATCCGTACGTTTGAAGAAGGATTTTAAAGGTTTTACCTCTATTTCCCCTATTGGGCCCCACACCCACTGCTTATTCAAAATTGAGTCCCCTTGGCCCAAGGATGATTCAGACTAAATAAGGATAAAACCCCTTAATCCCTACGGATGAAGAAGGATTTTAAAGGTTTTACCTCTATTTCCCCTACTGGGCCCACTTCTCTGCCATCAGGGTGGGCCACACCAACCGTTTATACAAAATTGACTGCCCTTGGCCCAAGGATGCTCTAGACCAAATTTAGGCAAAATCTAGTGGGTCGTTCAGGACTAGTAGCGTTTTAAAGGAAAAGTTGACGGACGGACAGTGCGGTATGGCATAAGCTCACCATGGTACTTCGGACCAGGTGAGCTAAAAATAGAGTAGGTTGGGGAACTACCAACAAACAACTGTTTTTGGCCTCATCTGAAATATATTTTCATAATTTTTTTGGTAGTTGATTGTCATCCGTTTGAACATAAAAATAATTTCCAGTAAACAGTGTGTAGTGACATCTATTAACGGTTTAATACATTGCTTTCATACCTGTATAACTACAGGTAAATAATTCTCAATCTAGACTTTAGGTATATGATAGGAAACTATCTTGGTCATTCCTAAAAATTTCATTTGAAAGACTTACATTTTAAATATGCAAAGACAATTTCTTTTTCCTTTTTATTCTTTTTCATTCTGAACAAAAAAGAAGTAGCGTGCATGAAGTTTTGTGTCATCATTACAGTATTCCACTAATGAGATATGAACATTTCAAAAACATGTGCAAATTTTAAGAAGTTTTTTTGGTTTTTTTTTTAGATTAAAAACTGAGCAATGCTTCTACATAATAGACAAAATTAAATCAGTTTAAATCTACATCTTGTTTATTTATGTAATAGATACTAGGTCATAATCCAAGATTCTCCAATACATTCATTCAGTGTTAAATGTCACGTCATGCAAACAGTCAAAGGTAGACAACTCTTAAATTACCAACACTTTCAGAGAATAAGTCTTTCATGTACATCTATGAAGTGCTTAAAAACACAACTTTATAAAATTACAGAAAAATCATTGACATATCTGAAGTGCAGTCAAACTCTTAAACATGCAGACAGGGTCACATGCATACAACATGCTAATACAGGAGAAACAAACGAGAAAGTCAAAAAGTTCATTTCAGAAATACTTCTTATGTTTATAATCTCAATACTACTAGAAAATGCAGTATTTCAAAAGTCATATGGATCGTTGGAGATGTCGACTATTTTACCCAAATTAAAAGAAAAGTTGTGTTCTAGACTTTTTTTTTTCTTATTTTGTATTTTTAGATGTACACTTAACAAAATTTCTGTTCACTTTGTTTATCTAAATATTTTTTCTAATTTCTAGTATAAATCAGAAGAATTTCATCAGACAAGCTCATAGCAGGGAAGTTACAAGGCAAAAGGTGAGGCAATCCAGAACCCTCAATCAATTCATGAGCAAAGATTTAAAATTAGAGAAAAACTATACTGACAAAAACTAGTGCTGTTTACCGGTCGATAACTAAACTGCTAAGTGAATTATCATTATTATTATTTTCTGATTCTTAACAACCCATCAACACAAAAGAGGTCTTTAGGGCCAATAAAAGTATACATACTACTAAGCGAAGTGAGACGATTGGGGTCAGATGTCAAGTTAAGATCACAGTGACCTAGTTATGGTGTGCCAGCATACTAGAATTTGGTAACTCAAGGTGACTTAGATTAGGAGCCCAGGACAAAGTGTTTGGATAGAAGTACATATACCACAAGATAGGTAGCTTCAAGATCAAATCTTTTTTTTATTTGCATACTTATTCTAAATTATTCAAATCCACAAGCAAAGTTCAAATCTATCTTAAGTTTAATACTTCTTACCTATTTATGGCAAAATGAAAACTATTGTTTAATTAAATGGGAAACTATATATGAAGGACAAACAGGACTAAAGACTATTTGAGAATGGGAACTGGATGGGCACCATGGAAACTAAATGCACAGCAGTTGAGATATCCGGTAGATTTAAAACAATTAGTCGAATACTTTGACTTGAGCTAAAGTATCTAACACCTTACTATTGGTCTGTTCTTGATTTCATTGACAAAAGAATATCAAGGAAACTACTGAACAAAGGGAAATAACTCCTTCTGATTCTAGATCAATTTTTGCACATTTCACAACCAAATTGTATCTGTTTAAAGAAAATTAACGGGACATCAACATCTGATGAATTTTACATGTTCAATGACTTCAGAAAGAAATATATCATTGTTTTCCCAAATTTTAATCCAAAATTAATGCTACCTTTAATTTACACACATATGACCATTGGGAAGAGGAGTCAGAATTAAGTCACTATACTAGTGGACTCAAAACCTTATAAGATGAGGGCATATTCTGGTACAGTTGACATTTATAATTGCTTATTTAACTTCAATTCTAGAATCAAAATACAAAAGTTACAACAAATTTAAATTGTTAGTCTAAACAATACTCCTGCTGACTCTTAAAGATTAAATCTAAAATTACCAAGCAACAATATACACAAAGATAAATTTCAATAGATGTTCTTTTGAACAAGGTAATCATCACATATTAAAAGAAATAAAGGAAGGAACAAATGAAATGCAACTAAAAACTGAGCTCAAACAACAAGCTTTGGCGTCATACAACAAATACAGTACTGTCAACAAACCTGAAGTTTTCTTCGAAATTTTTGCTGTTGAGCAGAAGTTACAAGAAATTGCATTATTTCATTTCTTTTCAGAACAAAAAATTGAGGAATTACTGATCTAGTAGTACTATTTCAGTTTCAAATTGATAACCAGAATTGATATTTCTACATTTCTTTCAGATTTTTTTTCCTGACATGCAAATTTTGGGGCAAATATATTTTGAAATTATAAATCAGAATTACGAATTTCTAAATTTACTTTGAACTGTTTTCCTAACATGCAAATTGGGGGGAAATATCTAGCCAAAAGAAAATGAAATAATTTAATGTTGAAAAGCAATGAACAAATAACATCACGTATCACACATGGCAGCTCTAGCTTGTAAGCTTTTGAAATAAGATGTGAAAACATGGTCTGGGCTCTCTTAGTCTGTACACATGTAAGGACATGCTTGTACAGGCGAACCTCAAAAATCTAGATTAGTGTTTGAATTCAGATGGCATTTGATAATCGATTAATCTGAAAATACCAAAAAAACTGAAAGAGATCTGATCTGATGGCAACAAAATGCTGTGTTTAAAAATGACATTTTCTATTGCCAATAAAAATATTTGGACATAATTGGTGACGACAGCAAGTAGTAATTCTTTCATTATTATAACTTAAATTGAAATTTGGCTTTATTCTAACTGTATAATTATTGGCATTTTCTAGATAGCTTAAAGATTAATAACAAAAACAAATCTCAGATTATTGATTGTGATAATCAATATTTGATCATCATGATGGATGCCAATCTTTCAATAAAAAAAAACACAATCAATTTAATCAAGAAAACACTAATCCAGATTTTGTTTAATATGCAGAAACATGGACATTTGAATATTAATAACATCTTTTATTTCAGTTTCATAAATCAAGAAAATCTTTTATTGTTTACTGGATTTTTTTTAGAAACCATAGCGATCAAATTAAAAAAAATCTTTTATGGTAGTTAACTAATTAACCAATATCTTTGTATCTTTGAAGAAAAAAAGAATGAAAATAGCAGTGATCAAATTTCATTTTGAAGTAAAATATTACACAACTTATTTATTTGAAGGTATTTCAACAAAGAAGAGAGCACCATGTTTCCTGAAAATATTTTTTCCCTTGTGTTCATGATCATAAATGAGCAAAAACAATGTGAAATGTTACTAAACTAACTGCTTGGTTGGAAGTGAAGGAGCAACATGTGTGCTTACAAATCAGTGGAAGTTACCTCCCTTACTCCACAACTACATACATACCTTGAGTTTGGATATGCCCTCTATCGTAGAGTTGGGGCCAGACAGCTCCTTTACCAATGTAGATCCCAAGTACTGAAGCACAAATAAAAAATAAACAGTCGAACAACGTTTTTTATAGATTGAAAGCATTATTTTATTCGGAAGATGCAACATAATATCTGTTGAAGATGTGACAATTATCAAAGCTGAAGATAGGAATGATAGTGGGAATCTCTGTTTTGCAAATATAGGTTGAGGTTAGCGACATTAGGTAGGGTGGGGTTATTACTATGGGGTTCGATAGTAAGGTTATTACTATGGTGGACCAAATGTGTCAAGTTGGTGGAAGTGGGATAAGGATATTTGTACGGGTAGACTGAAAGTTAGAGTGCGAGTAAGGGTAAAACCATCCCTGATACTCCAGGGGTTACGCTCACTTACGCTCTCTGCACCCCTGGAATATGTCAAGACAAAATCAAAGGATCAGTGTGTACCACCTTGTGGATGAGACAAAAAGACTAGTTTGATCCTTCGATGTATATCAAAAGAATCTCGCAGTCGGGTAACAGTAAAATTAACTGACTTTAAAGTTGAGCGTCTCTCCTTTGTAATCTTCAAAGGACAGGTATCAGCCTAACAATTGTTCAGGTTTTCTTTACCTGAGACCAATCAAAGAGCTAACTTTGTACCTTCCATTTTGCTATGACATATTCCAGGGATGCAGAGAGCATTAATATATATAAGTGAGGATAACCCCTGGAGTATGGAGGATGGGGAATAACAACTTACCAGCCAATGTAATTTTAAGGGGAGGACACCTCCATATACAATTCCTAATTGCAGTCCTTAATAAATATGCCACATAGGGGGGATATTTACCTGTGCCATGTAATTACAGTAGCCCTTGATGAGCATGACTGGGGGATGGCGCCATTCTTTGATGGGACTGGTGATGGTGGCCTGGTGGGGCGGTCGTAGGTGTATGCTGTCATCCCTTATACTCACACCCTGAAACATTGACAAGAATATTATGTGGAGCTGAAACTCTGATTAATTACTGACTGAAATTCAAAAAGAGTAAAGCAAACCTTTAGTTAATTAACTTGCAAAGATTCTGACAAATACTGTAGCCTATTAATCTTAAGAGAAATGAACACTGTTCTTTAATCATTTCTTCTTATCTAAATGACAGTGATGTATTTGCAAATCTGGTTTTATTAAATCAATGAAAAAATAATTTTATTAAATCAATGAAAAAATAAATAAAGACTCATTGCATTTAGATAGAAAGTATTAATCTGAATACTTCTTATTCCTGTTTCAAAGCAAAGCTTGTACAGTGTACATAGATCCTGTTCAAGAGCACCATGTAGAGTTACTTCCCTTTAGTTCACCACTAAACAACACTGACCCATTATAGAAGAGACGAGCTGTCCTTGGAATTTTTTCAAAATTTGATCAATTTGAATATATAACAAGCCATTTGTATGGTTGCTTGTGCCCTGCTTTGACCATCAATGCAAATATCAGAGAAACTAACTTAAACGCTAACACTTAATGTTGATAGAGATGCTGACAAAGTCAATGGACCATGAAAGGTAGGCCGCATCTAGCATTTGATGCATGGGTTAAGATGTACTACCTACAATGCATCTATGGTCTAAGTTTGGTTGTTGTAGCACTTATACTTTCATAGAAACTAACTTACACATAAAAACTTAGTGTTGCCGCCGTCGCCGGAAAAGCAACACCTTACACACCCTTCCACTTCGTGGCGGCGAGACAAAAAAGCTTTCGTTGACATTTTTACTGAACTGCTATATATATGGGTGGGCTTATCACCAGACATGGGCTTATTGTGGGATAAATAGGGGTACTGTCTCTTCAGACATCCTATGAAAATTTATAAAGATACCAACGGCTGCTATATAACAAGCTTAATTCTGCTGTACCTTGTTTTCCGAACGGAAGACTTCTTCATCCTCGCTACTATCAACAGGAGGAAATGCACTCTGGGAAGACTCTTTGACGTCCTCTTCTGAGGAAGTGAGAGGCTTGACGCCTGTGTAATCCTTGTACAGGTTTACATTAAACCGATGACTAGATGACTCTGAATCAGACGGTTGTGTATCTAACCGCTTCTTCTGTAGATGAAGAAAGTCGTTAAAATAAATTTTAAAAAAAATATCTTCTCATGGCAAGACTGAACAAAAGTTACAACTGGGCCCAGTTGTTCCAAATGTGATTACCTTAATCCGTGATTAGTGCAAATGTTATTTTTTGAGTATCTTTAAAATGCAACCATTAACTGAGGTGAAACTTTCCTGAAAGCAATATTTTTGAACAGTTAAATTAAATGCCAAAAGTACGAGGCTTTACCTTGTATAATGACCAAATTATTTGAGATTGAAAAACGTTGTTATGAGCTGTGATTATCACCTTTTGAACAACTTGGCCCTGATGTTCATGGTTCTGTTATCGAGAATTTCATTACCATGCCTTTAGAACAGGTTCAATACCATAGGCCCAGTTATTGTGAATCCTATACCAGGTTAAATATATCAGTAGGAATGAAATTGAGAGGGACATGAAAAACATGTAACAATTTATGCCTGCTGTGAAATCAGATATTTTCGTGGGGCCGAAATTTTGTGGTTTCCTGGCAAAATATCATTTTGTTGGTACATGAATTGGTGCAATTCAAGTAGCCGTTCAAATGGAGAATTGCTTTATATCAAACTTGTAATTAATTTTATGGATATATGAAACTGTGAATGAAGATTTTCCACAAAATCAGCGAAATTAAAAAAATTAGTGATTTCACAGTATGTTCAATTTGTTTCGTTCCTTGGTGTTTGTTGGAAACATGTCATGTTAAAGAGGAACAAAAGGCAAAGCAAAGTGCATCAAAATGTATAGACACTAGTAAAGATTGCTGAATCAATCTTGTGGCATTGGTTACCCTTTATTTATAAATATTATAATTTATTTGGATATACTGGTCTAACAGGAAGATATTAGGAGTTGGCAATTTTACAGTGCCTTTAACAGCTGTTAGATTCATAAATATATAGCATTAAAATCTTATTATACTGCCACCATTTGTCCAGAGAAATTCAGGGCATTAAAAAGGGCTTTGGCAATAAATTGAGGGAAATATATAAATTAAGTATATGTATTAAGAAAAAAAGAAATGAAAGGACCTAAGGAGACATGTTGGCAGTAAGTGAAGTGGCAAATGCCACGTATGGCATTATATCAAGGTTTTACAGTAATCCTTACGGAAAAATGCATTCATGGTTATCAAGACCTGTATTGACATGGTGGCACTGCATATCAGTGTGTCAGAATACATACCAAAGATGGATACTGCCTTTCAGGTGCCTGGCGTTCCCCTAGTGATGCCAGAATCCGCTTGCGGTGACCGATGGCTGATATGTCTAACACAGTCTGTAGCTCGACCTCCCAGAGTTGTAAGACTCGCTCCATTGAGTCCTTATTGTGAGACTTGAAGGAGTCGATATATGTCATTAAACTCAAACTTTTCAGCCATTCTTCCACTGTGGCAGGAGGGTTGTCAGGATCTGTAACAGGTAAACCATACAGGTATTGGTAAACTATACAGGAAACTCTCCACAGGTAAGTTATCAGGACATCAGGTAACTCTCCACAGGTAAGTTAATCAGGACATCAGGTAACTCTCCACAGGTAAGTTAATCAGGACATCAGGTAACTCTCCACAGGTAAGTTAAACAAGAAATCAGGTAACTTTCCACAGGTAAGTTAATCAGGACATCAGATAACTCTCCACAGGTAAGTTAATCAGGACATCAGGTAACTCTCCACAGGTAAGTCAAATAGGACATCAGGTAACTCTTCACAGGTAAGTTAAACAAGACATCAGGTAACTCTCCACAGGTAAGTTAAATAGGACATCAGGTAAATACACACATACAATTTCAAAAGGACAACAGCAAACTTACAATAGAAACATCTCCAGATAAACTTTCCTTTTATTTTTTCTTCTAATGTTTAGTTCAAAAGAAAAACTCACGTATATATTAAATCTATAAACTCATGTCCATTACATATGTCATTCCCTTAACTCCATTTCTAATCTATATGTTCTTCCCTGAAGGTGTGACCTCTGAACTTGCCAATGGGTCTGTCTTCTAGTGGTGTACTGATAATCGGAAACATCGATTAAATCGAGTTTGAAAAAGGTCCGATCCAATAATCGATTTTGCTGATGAAAGATCAATTATGTTCAATTGTATTGTAATCCTTTCTAACTTGAGATGCATCATCTGCATCGACATTATAAAATTTGGTGGTTAATATAAAAATGGAATTGTATATAGTAAAAAAGCGGAAATGCTTTTCGTTGCGTCACTTGTATTCGTTTCGTATAATACATACATCCGCATTTTGTATCAACCGAAACCACCATATTTGAAAGCAAGTAAAATGAAGCTAGCAGAGTGTTTTTCATGATAAATTATTATTAATATGCTATGTTATAGTGATCGGAGCATTCAAATGGGGGTAATTAATACCTTAACTGTGAGTACACCTAGTTGTCATCAAGTTTTGAGTCAAAACAGAGATATAATTGAATCCTTCCTTCCGCCTAGATTTCAGAAACGAGTATTTTCTCATCAGGCACAATTACATCAGATAATAAATCGGCCGGCCTCTTATGTTACACGAGTAGGTCATTTAAACCGATAATCGATTATCGATCGAATATGGAGTTTCGATTATCGATCTTGAATATTTGACCGATTCCCAGCACTACTGTCTTCAGAACTTCCCTTTAGGTTTGACCTCCGAAATTAACAATGTGTTTGACCTTTGAACTTACCAAGGAGGTTTAATCTTAGAACTTACTTATGGGTTTGACCTCTAAAACTAACGAAGGGTATGACCTTTGAACTTACCAAAGAGGTCTGACCTAAGAACTTATCAATGGGTTTGACCTCAGAACTTACAGATAGGTGTGACCACTGAACTTAAAAGATAGGTCTGACCTCTGAACTTACTTATGTGTTTGACCTCTGAACTTACAGAAAGGTCTGACCTCTAAACTTACCAAAATGTTTCACCTTTTTACTTAGCTATGGGTTTGACCTCAGAAAGGTCTGACCTCTGAACTTGCCAATGTGTTTGACCTCTAAACTTACCTATGGGTTTGATTTCCGGTAGTAGACGTGCTGCATCAAGAATCTGTTTTCTGTGTTCACTGTTTTTAATTCCTATGTGTTCTAAATCTTGGTCTTCTAACAGTTTACCACCCTGAGGAATGCACAACACATGTTATTATCAAGTCTGACATAGATCATTCACATTTGTAATGTTAACACAGCACACTGTGTGACAAATATATAAGAATACTGAAGTACAGTAACCAATATTTGTTCAAAGAAATGTTGGCATTATAAAAGGGTTTGGCGATAAATTGAGGTACAATAACAGGACTTCTTAAGAAAACGAGAAAAAATAGACATTGAGAGATGTTGGCGGTAAACGAGGTGGCAAATGAAATGAAAGGCATTATATCGAGGTTTTACTGTACTGCCTGGCATTATATGTCTGATACTGTGACACAATGTAAAGTCATTATACAATACGGTATACCAGGGACCTTTCATTGCAGTTTGATTTTCGCCTTTTTCTACCTTCACAGTGAGGGAGTATTTATCATTAAAGCAAACTTTGGTTAACAAAATTATGAACATAGTTATCAAATGTGAAGGACAAAATTAAAACTGGGTGAATATGGATTTTACCAGCATAGGGAAAAAGTTTCTCGTTATACAGTACATCTCCAATACAGTGATACAAAATCTATTTTTAAACAAAATAACAATGCAAATGAATGTTATTATAAAAAGAATGTTGATATGACTTATAAATTTTCAAATAACCTGTTGATAATCAATCAGCATACATTATAAAATTCTTGAAAACTTACCAGAAAATCTATGTTGTCGTAACCATTTGGAACTAGCGTATTTTCATATTGATCAAGATTTAGGTCTTCTAGCCAATCTCCAAGACATTTCACTTTTGAGGTTCCTAGCAATGGAAAACGTTCAAGTTGTACACAACTCCAAATTTGATCTTATCTGAACACTTCATCTTTACATGACATAAATATGTTACATCTGTTGTTTAAGTTCTACATCATTTTCATTGAGAAGAAGTTCCATTTACATATAAAGATAAAATTATAAAGTTTGGGGAAGAAACAGACAACTATTTAATAACCTTATAATTTCTAAAAAAAATACATATGAAAGTAAAAATTTATTATGTAAAGATGTCCCTAATAAATCTTTGTCTGTTAGGAAAGTAGACATTCAGAGCGGGAAAATAGGGGTAGGGGAGGTAATTCTAGCACACTTAAAACACACAACATAAAAATAGGGGTAGGGGAGGTAACTCTAACACACTTAAAACACACAACATAAAAAGAGGAGAGTTTTGGGTAACGGACTCACTTCACATGGGATAAAGTGTAACCTTCACAACAACAAAAGCTTGGGAGAACAACACCACCAGGTTCAACAACAACAAACACAAAGTCGCTGCCAAATATTGACAAGTATCTGTTTGTGATATATACACATTCTTGCATTATCCATATTGGGCATTTCTTTAGATGAAAAATGATTTTTTTTTACTTTTAGTTTCACCTAAATGACCAGATAAAAACTATGGTCAGGCCTGGTCGCCGCATTCAAAGAGTGACTTATTCATGGGTCAAGCACCTGTAGTACTGGGTATTTAAACTTTTGAAGGTCAGGACAAGTACCTATTAAACTTGAATTGAAGACCTAAAGCTGAAATGGCAGATCAGTTTCTTCAACTTCCAATACCCTAAAAATGTCAGATTAAGTAATTTATGTAAAGACAGAATGCTTGAAATGTGCCTTTGTTAAATGATCCAACAGTAACTATACAAAACAGTTGTTACATATTATAAATGCCATATTTAAAGACTGACTTTACTATAAAAAAAAAAAAAATCAGTAATACATATACAGGTATCTTTGAGCATAACACTATAAAAAAAAAAGTGTGATTTTTGGGTCTGAACAAAGCAAGTTGGCAAAGATATCATGATTCTTGGTCCTGAAGTACACGTAGGTATGGTTTGTGATGAGGGTGAATTGGGGCAGTGAATTAAAAGAAACATGGATAGCACTGGAATAAGTGATTTTGGGTGGCGTGGTCTGGCATGAATGGCAATGGAAAAAGTGATTTAGGGTAGTGATCTAGCGTTAACAGTTTTGGAAATAGTGATGTGTGGATGTGATCTGGCATAAGGGATTTCAGTGTGATATAATATGAACGACGAAGGATATGGTGACTCGGAGGGTACAGTGATCTGGCATGAATGACACTGGATTTTTTTTAGGCCGGGAGGGTCTGGCATAAATGGGGGGGGGGGGGGGATCTTGCATGAATGGTAATGGAAATAGTGATTTTGTGGGGGGGGGGACGTGATCTGGCACAATGGATATAGTGATTTTGATGTGATCCAACATGAATGGCACTGAATATGGTGATTTGGGGCCCAGAAGCATGGCTGGCACTCTAAAATATGGTCATCTACATCAAACAGAAGTTCTGTTTATCAAACTAACAGAACTATTTTCATCTTTCAATTTCCAGGTAAGAGTAGAAAACAGGGGCTGACAGCAGGTATGCTCTTCGGACATAAGGATCTAGAGGAGAAAGGGAGGGTATGGAGATACGGATCGGGATTTAAAAAAAAAATCTAATAGGTGGAAGGAGGGGGATAAATAGGGACATGGTATCCTGGATATGAATGGGATAATTATCACAACAGTTTATTACAAAGGATCAGGTATATTATATACGAAGGTACGGGAAGACCATTTCTATCACTTTACAACACATTTGATCAATTAAACAATACCATTTATCTAGGCCATTACAACATTAACACAGAAGACAAAAGGACATTATTTACAGGAGACTCGGGGAAGTTAGGACAATTAGGGAGTGATACACAGGAAACATTGGGTACCTGTATCGAGGACAAATTCAATATTTAACATCTAGATCTACATTGTTCTACATTGATTATGTCCAATCTATCATATTCAAAACATCAACTGAATCATTCTTTCCATCTCTAAGAAGGATTATTCATTTCAACATCAAAGGAAAAACTACAATTCTAATTCATAAAGGGAATTATTTCAAAAATCTCAAGTTAGTGTGAACAACAACATTAATGACGGTGATCATTCCAAGTTAGTTTTCGCAGACACAGAGTTAAACAGGTGGGATTGAAATTAGTCAATGAGGTGTGCATGATTATGATACCTTGCGAGGTGAGGTGTTCAGTAAAAGTGTTCAAGTATTCCTTCACAAAGACCGACTCTCGGGCCATTCCCACCCCTACCGAGTCTAGGGTAATCTGTATCTACAAATGGATCAATAAAGATACAGTCAAACAAGGCCACATGCTATAAATACATAGAAAGATCACTGTAGAACATGCTAAACAGGCAAACTCAAACAAAAGAAAAACAGTAGAGCTGAATATAAAAATAATGTGGATTATCTCCCTTGGTTTATCTCCCTTGGTAAAACCAGTTTTATTTTTTCAATACTTTGTGAAGTTTGTGATTTTAAAGGGTTTTATGAGGGTTTAAATTAACCCTTTGGTTGGAGATGTACGAAATTGGAGTTGTTTTCTAATTTTTACGGATTTTCCATCAATACCCCTCACAATCTACAACTATTTCATAGTTATCACACATGTTGAAACAAAGGTTTCTTATGAAGGTGTATATTAAGACAGAATTTTTGAAAGTTGATACTATTATTTTTTATAAAATTTTATTGTCTATTAGTATTTTATAAGAGTTGTTGTAGGTTTCAATTATTCAAATCAAGTGGAAAAAAGTAGAAGAAAATAATTCAGAGACTTCTAGTCTATTACTTGAACAGGAAATGAAATAAACCAATTTCTAGAAATAAAACTAATTTCACAGGAAGCGAAAGGCCACATGTATTTTTATAGCTCAAGGTTACAAAACACTTAACAACGCCTGAATCTGTTTTGTGCCAAACTGTGACAAGCTGGTAGCCATTTCTATCATTCCTTAGGAAGTCGTGCTAGTAAATGTCAGGAAATGGAGCATTTACACCCTCCTAGACAGACCAATCCAGTCTAATCACCCTCCTAGACAGACCAATCCAGTCTAATCTGTGGGGACAGTACATTAGCAATATGGTACACACCTCTCAGCTTTTAATAAACTATCGCTTTGACTGTGATAGACATACCACAATGTTTCATATTTTCTGAAATTTTCATGTGAAGTTGATTCCAAAACAATCACCTTAAAAGATCTTTTTGAAAAAAATCTTATTGGCAAAAATACTGGTGTTTTTTTTTTATTCCTCCCTTGAGAATATTTGAATTTTCTCATTAGACTAAAATTCTGAAAAGACTTTTTTTTTCTTTTTTTCTGCTACTGTCATTGTCTATAACTAGAATGTTATTTCATTACCAAGACGAAGTAAATGGCATTTCAGCTAAACTCAGACAAGTTAATTAAATATTTTGCAACCAATTCAAAAAAAAAAGATTATTGTAAAATCATAAAGAATTTTTATTAAATTGTCAAAATAAAATTCACAGCTCCATGCATCAGTGACCTGAAAGAAAAGAGATTTCAGCATGAATGGAACAATGATCGGCATGCAAGGTTGAAAGTTTCAGTTCCACAGATCCAATGTTTGGACTTTTAAGTTCCAATACGTTGATTCAATTGTTTTGCTGAACACTGTTTGTTGTTGGGAAGATATCATTGCTATTACCAATTTAATGTTTTCACCTGCATATTCAATTGACAAATCATCATTTCATTCATTAGAAGCAGTAATTTGTACAAGAATTATGTATCACTTTAGAAGAAAACATTCTGGTATTTATTTAACATTTTAATAGATAATTTTCTTAGAAATCCAGAATTGTAAATTTCATTACTGAAATTTTCACAGACCAGATTATATATAAAAAAAAAGATAAAAGTTTGACAATAGCAGAACTCGTATGATATTTCTCTCAATGCTTCCAACATCAAATATCCACCTATAGCATAGAATACCATGCGTCTTTACAAGCAATTATACAAGCATGCAAATGAGATATAAGATCCAAGGAACAGGATACAGCAGGCAAACTCCCAGCATTCTTTGCACCTCGTTGTCATGGCTACGGATGTACCTTTGAAAAGCCTGTTTATTTCGGTCTCTATGGAAGACAAATCGCTGAACTGTGATATATCCTCTCCATAACTGGACAAAATTCCTGCAATCTAAACATCTTAGTTTGTCAATAAATAAAGTACTTTAAAACATACAGCAGTCAGATTCTACATCAAATCAAAAATACTTAAACCCTCATACTTGCCAATTAATGTATATATTTCTTACCCTAATTTGAGCATTTTCAATCAGTAAATTTGTTAAACTATTCCTATTTTTTAAAATCTGCTAACTTAATCTGAAAGAACAGCTCAATATTAAAGGTATATTACGTTACTAACCAAGCACAACTTGTGACATATTTGTCATAATTCATTTCAGATAGCACAAGTTGTTCATAAGAATTTTTTAGAACTCATGTATTTCCTGTAATTAGCACCCCTTCGGCTAATATAGTAATGTCAGTTATAAAGTTAGTTATTTTCACAAGCAGATCAAAGGGGAATCCCCTCAATATCCAAGATCAGTCATTATTTATACAACATTGATTGTGCATGTACTTTACACAGACATCCAGAAATCTAATTCCAATCCTGTGTCCACTGTTGAGGTCAAATGACTTGTTACATGGAAGTCAAGTTGGTTGACATACCATCGTAAGTTCGACAAATATTCATAAATCATAGTTCAATCATTAAGATATTTTCATATTGATAATCAATCTATATGAAATAATAAGGATTAAAAATATAAAATGAGACAATTATGTAAAGTATATAAACCTGGGCCCAATCGGCGGTGTCATCGAAGTGGTTGGCATCTGTTTCCGTGCCCGTAGTCATGGATACCCGCGTGGCTGAGATACTATCAATCATCTTTTTGTCCAAGTCTTCTTCTTTCTCCATGAGAGGGTCAAAGGGGATTAATCCTGTAGTTGGGAGTGACTGCCTCTTCTTAGCACGTAAGTACTTTCGGTGTTTGACATTGTCCCAGATTTGTGACACAACCCGACGAGGCCGACCGACTACCGATCCTCTAAGAAGACCTGAAGGTACAGAAAACATTCAAACATGAACCTCTGTCATTGTTTAGAAAGCATCATTTCAACAACACATACTGAAGTAAAGCAAATTCACACCTGAAAATGCTTGTGATAAAAACATTCAATAAAAATTTGAAAATACTTTTAATTTCCTAAAATATTTCCTTTTAACTGGATACTTGCTATCTTTTCTTTTTTTGAAGACTTGATTAACTTGAATTCAATCTGGTTTAAGAATTGTCCTGGGGATCCACTTTAAGATCCATGGTTATTTCATTGTATCACACATATACAATTAATAGATCCACTTTGAGACCCATGGTTATCTCCATGCGCGACACAAATTGGTGAACTGACTTTATGCCACTTAAGTAAGGGTCTCTCTCCCACTGCAGATAAAACGCTAGAGAATTCCATTTAAATTTTTCAAACGTAGTTACCTCCCTTTAATTTAGTTATGGCTTTAGAAAAACTGCAGTCAGGCTTGGCCAGGGATCTACCTTTTATCTGGTAACTCAGTTGGTTAAGAGCAACCAAATCATGATCGAAAGTCAACACAGTAGAAATCCTGGCCTTGCCCTGTTGCAGTTTTACTCTCTAAACACCTGTTAATATCATTTTTGATTATTTCATCTCTATCAGTTTTTAAAAAAGGTTCCACAGATGACAGGTTTCATTAAAGAAAATAATTTCTTAAAGCTACTGTCATGCAAGTAAAAAAGTTTCCAATTTGTAGTTACAGTTTTTGGCTGTTGTACAGGGATCCTTAAAAGATAATCACCCTAACATCAATGAAGGCAGCTACCTTCAATCACGAACATGCAATTTTATTATGTTCTACACAAAACATACCAACATCAAAAAGGTATTTTACATAAACTTCCTTCATGTGCTATAGTTTAAACACAGCAGTAACTTTGAAATGTGTGATTTTTATGTACCATCCAGTTGTTTGCTAAAAGATTCAATGACGGACACTAACTACCGAATGTGGAGTTACTAGCTAGTAAAACCCATCAAAATCACCTGTAATCCCTAACACTGCATAACGAAAAGTCAGCAACTGCAAAATTAAACATTTACAGATGCAAGCCAATAGTTTTTAGAGACCATAATTACTTGTGTTTGCTTTAATCGAGTGCCAAGTAGGTGAAATGCTGTCCATCGAACTCGTAATATTTAACCTCCGATTTTTTCATGCTCCCTTAAAACTTTTGGCAAGGACAAAATTTACCAATAAATGTTCCGTTATCTCCTCCGCATATAAGTGGTGTGAGTATATTTCACCCATTAAAATCCGACTCAATCAGAGGCTTGAGGTAGGTAGGCAGATGTTGAAGGGAATTAAATCGAATAGGGAAATATATAAATAATGTTTCTGGAAACCTTTCGTCAGTAAAAGTGATTCACGACTCAGCACAAAATCTTTATGTCCGTCTTTCTAATCAAATCGCAGTAAAGATCAAATCAAATTAAGTCAAATAACTAAGATACAATGTGATCATCAGCCTCTTGTCAGGTTATCCGTTTATGCCATTTCTCCTTCTGTTTCTGGGAGAATAGCGGATGTGTTACCGTTTACTTATCCATTTATGTGCCTGTTTTCTGGGAGAATACGGTAGTTCATTTGAGCGCATTAAGGTGATATCAAATAATAAAGGAAAAGGGAATGTGGAAAGCGAGGTGTCAAATGAAATAATTGTTAATTTAAATGTTAAACCTTAATGTTAAAGCAGGTTGCACTTCAAAAATTCCAGTCAAAGTCTTGACGGAAAAATTGGAACCATATGCATTGTTTACATTGTTGTGTATATTAATAGATAACTGCATTTGCAGATAAAATTCAAAACTTAATAAATTTCAAGAATTACTAAAAACAAGAGGCCCAATGGGCCTGCATCGCTCACCTGGTATTAATCTCGCAATTGTAACCTTAAAAGTGCACTAAAATAAAGCTACAGGCAAAATATCAGTGTCTTGCATTGACTTCAAGTCATTCAGAAGAACCTGTTAAATGATTAAAACACATTTTACCCCTGTGACCTTGAAAGTAAAACATGGACATTAAGTTGAACAAACTTCATAGCCCTTCCTCCAAGAATGCAACTTGCCAAATATCATCACCTTATACCTTTTGTTTATTGAGAAGATGACTTTTAAAGAGTTATGCACTGTGGACCAGATGTGACCATGAAAGTATGTCAAGGTCATTCACACCAACAAGCAATCACCCTGTATGCTTTAGTTATTCAGAAGAAGTTGTTTAAAGGATTCAACATGTTTGACCCCTGTGACCTTGAAAATGGGAAAAGTTCAATCATTTGAACAAACTTTGTAGCCCTTTATACAAGAAGAGTTTATTTCCAGGAACATCTCGTTATCACTTGTACAAAATGTTTAACAAGGAGTTGGGTGGTCTTAAACATTACGGAGCATCAGAAAAGCATCTTAGTAAAAGATTTTACAATAGTGCTTCCTTCCTCATTAGTTTTGGTGTCAAAAAGCAGATCACTTTGTCCTGTTCATATTTTTTTTTTCTAAATGCAAATTTCATAAAATTTGTTTGCGTTTTCCTGTGAATTTCAACATAATGAATCAAAACAAATAAAAAGATGATTAATTAATCCTGAGTCGAACAGCATTGCAATATATTCTATCAGATTCTTTCTTTATCAAATTTAATTGGTGCAGTGTTCGAACCGATAAAACATTCTCTTCTACGGCACATCATAATGTGTCCAATTTCTGCAATAAAACATCTGTGTACTCTTGCTTGCCTGGGATATTGACCAATCCATTGGGAGAAAAACATATTATTGCTTGCCTGGGATATTGACCAATCCATGGGGAGAAAAACATATTATTGCTTGCCTCGGATATTGACCAATCCATGGGGAGAAAAACATATTATTGCTTGCCGACACTCCCAATAAAACCAGCAATATTGACTTTAAAACCCCCATTTCACACCATATGTCAAAGTCTGCTGTGCCTTGGTTATATTTCTAAATTTTCTGTTGTCTCATAGAAACGGTAATTTTCATGCAAACCGCTTTGTAAGCAAATTTGCTTAGTGCTACACTATGACATTTTCATCGTTTTCCACACTGGCTTTATCAAACAAAGTTATTTGTTCTGTCAATATTAGAGACAGACTTTTTTTTAATTAATTCTTGTATACATAGCATTGCAAGGTTACATGAAAATGACACACACCGAGTGGAACAGAAACTTCTAGTTATTTATAGTCTCCCCTAGGTAAATATCATCATGGCCATGTTTATCTTCCTCTTAATTAATTTAAAACACAGCAATGTCAGGTCGGTTCCACGTTCCTGTTTATATTGGGGTTCAACTGGAGTCACTTTTCATCATAGAACCCGTCAATTTTCATTAACACCAATAGATAGCATACACACTCTAGATTATTGATGTAAACAATCCTATCATTTTTTCTCCATAAAAAAAATCACTTACATATACATTTCACAGCATGTGTTTTTTTTGCTCATTTTCACAAAACTAATAAGCATTACTGGGATACATGGTCAGTAAACACCACCATTATCCCTCAATGGTTTACAACTAATGCAGTATATTGTATAACTGTATTTATCCTAAAATAAGCCCATGCCTGCTAATAATATTAGCCCACATATGTCTAATACAGTTCCAAAGGAATTTTAATCCCCCACTTTGAGTTTATGTGTTGGTACCTTTAGCTTAGTTATTGCAGAATAAAAACAGTAACTGTTATATACTAGTATTTAAGATATTTTATCTAAGGCTTTCTGACTCTTGTTATAATGCCATTGTTGAAAGACAATCTATCATGTTACATCAATTCTCTAGTGGGACTATCCCTCTAATATGACCACCTCTCCAATTTGATCAAATTCTTTCTCTGTAATTTACTACAACTCTTAATTAGACAATCTCTCTAATGTGACTATCTTTTTAATAAAACCTCTCTGTTAAGATCTAAGTCTACTTCTGTAATAAGATTACACCTCTAATTAGATAACCTCTCAAATGTGACTACTAAACATTTATAATAGGACCAAACTTATAAGTCTACCTTTCTAATATGACCACCTCTATATAACCACCTGTCAAATCTGACCACTTCTCTAATATGACTACCCTTCCAATATGACTACCTCTCCTTTAAATTTAATACACTGAGGAGACAACCTATCTTGAATATGAAATTAGACAACACTTCTTTTCATGTTAATTCTGGTACTAACATTGTACTTATAGAGCAAGGTTCTGAGACTATTTCACTGAGACAACCCCTGCTGTTGTTTGATTTTATTTCTTGCTGTGTAAATTCTAAACATTTATATGGTTCTTTAAGGATATGCATGTGTTAAATTCCCTTCCACCTAGTACCCTATATATCCTCCTCAGCCTCCTCATCCTACAACATCTTCCGTATCAACGCAGCCACTGAAGCATGAAAGTCTCTAAGTGAATTGTAAGTTATCTCAATCAGACATTTCTACCCTATCAGGACATGCTGAGGATATCTAAGAAAGTGATACCATGTCCTACTTACTGGTTACCATATCAAATAAAACACACAAGAACTTGATATGACACTTTTACATGAACAAGTCTCACTTCAAGTGTATATTGTAACATTTTAGCCAATAAACTACAGCTGTAACGTTGGTGTAGTTAGCTAACCCCACAATAACACTTCCGTATTCCACATACTTGTGAGAAACACCTGCCAGACACCTACATTTACAGGTATCTTATCACGCTACCTGGGTTAACACCTGTCCATAACGAGCTGATAAAATACTCACTCCTGGGGTGCTATCTGTGAACCCCAACGAGTTTACACCTTTTCCTTCAGGGGAAAGGGGTTAGAGGTCAATCTCTTCAGAAGCTGAGGTCAGACCCTTCAGAAGCTGAGAATTAAACTTTATTCTTAGTGTATCAACAAGTGCCAATTAGACTTGCTAAAGTCCTTCATCTTTCGACCACCACAT